TGATGAGGCAACTGTAGGCTGCAGCGCCGATCCGAGCATACCCTGGCGTCGCCCTGGGGCCCCGAGCTGTCCGTCGGTACGCCCAAGAGGTACGTGACCATCGCGAGGTGGCCTTTGTACGCCGCTGTGGCCAAGGCGGCGTGGGTTCGCCATAGCCCGTAGATCTCATGGAGCCAGCGCACAACGTTCAAGTGGCCGGCGGTGGCAGCGAGAGCCATTGCATCTTCGCCACAGCCATCGCGTCGGTTTTGATGTAGCCAATCGAGCACGTGCATGTGGCCGCGGTACGCCGCGTAGACGATGGCTCGCTCCGATCCGACGCGAAGGCGGCTCTTGTGCAAGAGCTCGAGCGACGTCAGGTCGCCGTTGAAGGCCGCCAGCTCCATCACTTTACATCGCGTCCATTCGTCGTGGTGACAGGGACGACGACGCAACGATTCGTTGGAGAACGGCCCCCACAATACACTTAAAACTTGCGAGTTCAGGTCGCAGGCACAGACATCACTGGGCGACAACAGTAGCGTGTAAGAGAGTTAGCGAATTCATTGCAGACGTCGGACGGCATGTACAGTTTCGCACTTTGTGGCGCCTGACGATCGTTTGCTGCGTTCTGCGGCTGCCACGTCACATATCCGTTTTGGCAAGTATATTTAGCTAGCAATGGCACTGCGGCGAAACTCCACGCACAACTGCTACACATCGCTGAGCATCAAGAGCGTATGGGGTGCGGCTCGTCTCTCGGTATTGGGTCGAAGGTCGCGGACCGGAACCCGCAAGAGCAAGCCAACAACGACAACTCGCCGCTCACGCCCGAAGAGATCCGGTCGCGCATCGTGTGCTCGGAAAAGTCGACACGCCTTCAGCTCACGCCGTCCCTCTCGATCGAGTACGCCTTTGTGTCTCAGCGCGGCTACTACCCCGACGGTACTTCTCTCTACTCTTATGCTCAAGGTGTCACTTCTAAGCTAGCAATTGACAAGCCCAACCAAGATAGCTTTACCATCATCCCGAGCTTCGCGGGCGACCCGAGCAAGATCTTCTTTGGCATTTTTGACGGCCATGGCGCGACCGGTGACCTCTGCTCGATCTTTGCAAAGAAGGAGGTCCCGGAACGCTTGCTCAAGCTCATGGCCAAAGGCACGCCCGGCAACTTTGCAGAAATTTACTCGGCCGCGTTCACCGACACCAACGCCAAGGTACACTTCATACAATACCGTGCAAGACACTTGACCAAGTTCTAGTTGCACACATCGCGCATCGACGACAGTCTAAGCGGCACGACGGCCATTACGTGTTTTATGGACGGCGACATCATCCACGTGGCCAACGTCGGCGATTCGCGCGCTGTGATTGCGCGCAACGACCAGCCACGCATTGTGGCCTCGCCCTTGTCGGTCGATCAGACGCCGTACCGCACGGTACGACGCATGCTCTCTATTCTTTGTGTTTTTTTCTCACTTTCGACGAAATTTTCGTGTTATTTCGTGATATTTTGTGATATTTTGTGAGCTTTCGTGGTGCTATCGTCGCTTTTTAGGACGAACGCGAGCGCGTCAAGCGATATGGCGCTCGTGTATTGACGATGGACCAGCTGGAAGGCATTGCACCGATCCACGAGGTCCCTTGATCGAACGCATCATTTGCTTGGATTGAATGTTGGTTGGTGGTAGAACTGGGCAACGGCCATCAACGAAGAGGTCGACGAAGATGGCGACCCGCCCCGCGTGTGGTCGCCAACGGGCAACTTTCCGGGCACGGCGTTCACGCGTTCGATTGGCGATGAGATTGCCGAGAGCCTCGGTGTCTTTGCGACGCCCGAGATTGCGTCGCTCCAGCTCACGCCGTCGGACCGGTACATCATCATTGCGAGCGACGGCGTCTTTGAGTTTTTGACCAACCAAGCGGTTGTCGACATCATCAAGGCGTACTCGGACCCGCTGGAGGCGTGCGAGAAGGTCGTGACTGAGTCGTACCGCCTCTGGTTGCACTACGAGCTCCGAACGGACGACATTACGATCGTGTGCATTTACTTGGATCACACGGCGTCGAGCCACGGCAACGAGACGAATAAGGAGCGGCTCCAGAGCCAAAAGAACAACGATCTCATCACGACCAACATGCTCAACGACCGTGTCGCCGAGTTGCGCCCGGTGCGGCGCGGTATGTCCAAGCAGAAGCGGCGCGACCAGATGAAGAAGGACATGGCCAAGATGGTGACCGAAGAAGACCTCAACTACAAGATGAACGACCACGTGATTCTCAAATCCAAGCAAGAAATGGACAAAATCCAGGAGATCACTCAGGCCAATTGGCTCTTCAAGCAGCTCACGGCACAGCAACGCAACGACGTGTACAAGGTCATGGAAAAGGTCACAGTCAACGAAACCGACGTGGTCATTCGCCAAGGCGACCCAGGCGACCGCTTCTACTGCGTTCAGAGCGGCGACTTTCAAGTGCGATACAAAACCATCCAAAATATCAATTTTTCAACGACACAAATAGGTCACGGTCAAGAACGAGACGCCCAATGGCATTCGCGAAGACATTGTCCACGTCTACCGCGGTGACACGCATCCGTCGTTTGGCGAACTCGCGCTCATGCACAATGCGCCGCGGTCGTCGTCAGTGATCGCGCTCACAAAAGGTGTCTTGTGGGCCATCGACTGCCGCGCGTTCCGACTCGTCTTTATGAAGTCACCGACCAACGTTATCGTCCAGACGCTCAAGAAGGTCGATGTGCTCAAGTCGCTCACGACGACGCAACTCGAGCGACTCGCGACCAACTTGACCGAAATCACGTTTGAAGACGGCGATTACATCATCAACCAAGGCACGATCGGCAACACATTTTTTGTCATCAAGGAAGGTGCGTGCCTCTGCACGGTTTGGGACGTCGCACCCGGTACGACGGAGCGCACGAGCCGCGAAGTGCTACGACTGCGCCAGCACCAGTACTTTGGCGAGCGCGCGCTCCTCAACGACGCCCCGCGCGCCGCCAACGTCATTAGCGTCGGTCGCACGAAATTGCTCCAGATCGGGCGCCAGGCCTTTGAGGAGATTCTCGGGCCGCTCCAAAAGATCATTGACAACGACCGCGCGCAGCGCGAGGCCAAACACAACTTTCAAATTGCCGTGAGCAACCTCCGCGAGCACAACCCCGAGGCGAGCTCGGTCAAGAACGACGTGGCGCGTGGCCAGCTCAGTTTCAAGTGCGTCGCGCAGACGAGCGAGGTTGTTTGTCGATTTCTGGGATTTTTCATTAAAATTTTATTGAAATCTAGGTCGGGACCCTCACCACGTTTGAGACGACGAGCAAGGTCCGGCTCACGGTTCGCGTCGTCTCCAAGCGACAGACCAAAGCCAACAACAAGATCGAAGAGGTCATGCGCGAAGCCGCGATCCACAAGAGCATGAAGCGACCCATCTCGGTTGCGACAGTCCCCGTGTGCATGGGCACGTGGACCGACGCCAACGGCCTCTACATGGCGTTCAACTCCAACATGGTCTGCGACATTGCCGGCTTGATGCTCGACGCGGAAACCAAATTCTCGGAAGACGTGATTCGGCAGTACGCGGCGCAGCTGCTCATTGGTCTCGAGACGCTTCACGATGTTGGGATCGTGTACCGCAACATGAACCCGGAAAACATCATGCTCGACGACAACGGCTACGTCCAGCTGCACGATTTTCGGTACGCATTTGCACAAGATATGGATTTTTGCGTCCATATATATAACATCTTGGATTAGGTATGCCAAGCAAATCGACGATCTCCGTACGTACACACTGTGCGGCACAGCCGAGTATACGGCGCCCGAAATGGTGTCGGCGCAAGGCCACAGCTTTGGCGTCGATATTTGGGGCCTCGGCATTCTCATCTATGAGATGCTCTACGGTATCACACCGTTCGCATGCGACGACTTGGAGAACGACAAGGACGTCGTGCTCGCTGTCTACTCAAAAATCTCACGCTACGACCGCAAGGACCTCGTCTTTCCCGGCACGGAAGATCGCTCGAAAGAGGTGACGGACCTCCTCTTCCAGATTCTTAACCAGAGTCCATACGAACGCCTTGGCTGCCAAGGCATGATCGACATCAACACGGGCGGGTCCGTCATCCGGAGCCACCCGTGGTTTGCGTCGGTCGACTGGGTGCACGTCGCAGCCGGCGTCCAGAACGCGCCGCACGTCCAGCAGATTCGCCAAAAAGCGGCGCAGGTGTTTGACGCTGCCGCGCCGCTCGTGCTTGAACCGTACAACGACGCGTCGTCCTGGTTTGACGGCTTTTAACGCGACAGTGCGGTGGCGATGAAGTCAATTCGACCTCGCGTTTAACCTGTAAAAGTATCTTATTGCGTGCATATTGTTGTTGTACGTCCTACTCTCTCGTACCAAAGGGCGCAACTGTTATTAGTCTACTTGTGCCACGTGGAATAGTGTAATGGAGATATGAACCGCGTCAGCCGTTGGGCGCGACGTTTCTTAGCGTCTTGTAGCACATGTAGCGGTATCGTTGTCTAGTCTATGTTTGCGCTTGGGCTGTAGACAAAGTAAACCTTACTTAGCATTGATTATCTTCTCTGACTTCCTATTTCACGATGCCGACACCAGTCATCTTCATAACCGCAAAAACTACATTGATGGCTTATTTGAAAAGAAATATTGCTTGCGTTTGTGTAGTTCTGAGGGACCCGCAGGACGCAATACTCGAAGGACACAGATGTAAGCCGCCCATGGACAAATTGTGCAAATATCCAGTCCCACAGGAAATATGCATTGTGACAGGTTTGCTATCCGGATATTATCCGGTTGCGGGCGTGTGCCAACTGATTTCGGCAGGTCCAAACGAATTCGACGGCGGCAATGCCCTTTGGTCAAGTCATCTTGGGACCGCCAGGTACGCGCGCGACCACGTGGCAGAAGGAGCTGCAAGCTCGATGGCGTAGGCAGCGGCAAGACCACGTACTGCAATGGCATGCAGCAGTACCTCCAGGCGGCCGGGCGCGACGTCGCAGTCGTCAACATGGACCCCGCAAACGAGCAACTACCATATCCTTTCCTTCGCCAGCCTTTGCCTTGTGCATGCATCTTCTTCTGGACTCTGAATGACGACGCTCTCCTTGACGACCAGGATGTGCTGTACATATGTAGCCGACATTGACATCATGGAGCTCGTCTGCCTCGAAAACGTCATGGACGAACTCAACCTCGGCCCGAACGGCGGTACGTGCTATGGTCAATGCAGCCTTCGTGCTCATTACGGTGGTTGTGTAGGCTTGGTCTATTGCATGAACTACATTGACGAGCACTTTGAGTGGCTGGCGGAGCGCCTTGGGCGGCTGCAAGGTACAGACCATGTCGACATTTCTTGTTACGACCAGATTTCACGACCACAATTCGCGATAGAAAAGTACATTTTGTTCGACTTTCCCGGCCAAGTCGAGCTGTACACGCACGAAATCAGCGTGCACAACATTCTCCAGAAGCTCCAGAAACTGCATTACCGGGTACACGAACCTGCAAAGTACGCTAATTGGACGTGACGCGCTCTGTAGATATCGGTCGTGCACCTTGTCGACGCGCACCACTGCACGGACAGCTCCAAGTTCATTTCGGTCGTGCTGCTCAGTCTCTCGTCCATGGTGCGCCTCGAGCTGCCGCACATCAACGTGCTTTCCAAGATGGACCTGATCCAGCAGTACGGCAACCTTGGTGCGTCCACCGTATTTGCTTATTTGCCGACTAATTTTCCTGGAAATCAGCGTTCAACCTCGAGTTTTACACGGATGTATTGGATCTGCGCTACCTCCTGGACCGCCTTGAAGCCCAAGAGTTTGGCGAACTCCACGAAGACGACGACGACCCGTATGCCCTTCCAGCAATCGACCTTCCGCACGCCGTCCAGTGCAAGCAAAAGCTCCGCGAGAAGTTTCGCCGTATGAACGAAGTGCTCATCGAGGTGATCGAGGACTTTAGCCTCGTGAGCTTTGTGCCGCTCCAGATCGAGGACGTCGAGAGCCTCCAGCGCGTGACGCAGACCATCGACAAGTCGAATGGCTACGTCTTTAGCGACAAGCCCGCGGGTGGTATCCTCAAGGACTCAGACCTGCAGTCCGACCGCATCGGCGACATGGAAGAGAAATACGTGCGCTGAGCGTGCCACGTCAGGCTTAAAACACCCACTTTTTGCATTTCACCGTCCTTGCTCGCCGCAAATCATGTCGACGGCACGACAAAACAAAGGTACTCGAGTTTATGGCGTTGAGATATCCCACCTGACGCAGGAGCGATCAGCGTTGGGCGGGTAGCCTCCACGGGCAGAAGGCGGCGACACATCAACGGTTGGGTGTTTTTATCTGCACTGTCGACGGACAAACCAATCACCGTGTGATATGGCTTTGCATTTTGGCCAATCACGTGCGTTTCCAGCGTCAAGTTGCACGATCTTCGTGGCATTCGAGCTTTGTCCGCGTCCAGCATCCTCCATCGCCAGCATGTTCCAGCGCCCGAGCATCGAACCTATCCTCACCGAGAAGGAAGGCCGCAGCGAGGTCGACATGGCGCCGGCCATCGAGTGTCGGACGCCCAAAGAAGCGCCGTCACCATCCTCGGCGGCCACGCCGTCGCCGCGATGGCACTGGGTCCATACCCAGCTGACAAAGAAGGTCCTGTACGTCGTCCTCTTCTGCCTTTCAACCTTCTTGAGCTCGTCGATCGCTTGCGGCTGGGTCGCCAACGCCGTCCATCGATCGACGTCGACGCCCTTCTCGCTCGCACGTGCCATCGCCGTGCTCCACGCCCATGAAACAGCGTACGACGACTGCATCCAAGACGCGCTCGCCCACGAGATGCTCGCGCTTGTCACGACATGGAGCCACGAGCAAGACGTTGTCGCGAGTATCGCAGTGGCCGACGAGGTGGCGATCGTCGCTTTGGCGAATGCCACCTTGGCCTGTATGACTCATTATGCTCGATTCTACGGCGATATGACAACTGACGACTGCGGATAGGCAAAGCAACGCTCGCCGAGCTGCAAACCACATTGCTTGTATCGTCGTCAAGCACTGTACTCTGCTCGCCCGATGACCAACTGGCCCTTGAGACGCTCCAGAACGCCTATTCGCTCTCGCAGCCACCGACGACCAGTCGCATTTTCCTTCGCTTCCCCAACGCCCAAGCCCAAGCCGACGCCACAGCGCTGAACCGAACGCTCACAGCATACCAAGATGCCGTCCACGCAGACGCGCAGGCGCTTCGCGACGTCGTTTCGACCGGTGCGTCGTCGCTCCAGGCCAACGCGGACGCAGCCCACGCGGCCGTTCTCACGCTCCAGAGTCAGTGGTCGACAGCGACCAGCGACACGGCTGATATTCATGGCGTTCTCAGCTCGCTCCAAGGCGTCAAGGCCTCTGCAGCCGCGATTGAAGCCGTTCTCGCCAAGGCCAAGCCGGCGCTGGCCGCAGTCGGGATCACACTCCCACCCCTTCGCATTGCGCTGGACCTAGAGACATCCATGACGCAGCTCCTTCTCTTTGGCGCTGTGATGAACCGCTCGATTGCAGCTGTTGCAAATGCGCAAGAGGCAACGCAAGCCGACGCACGCGCGTTCGTCGCTGGTCTTGGCAACGCCATGGACCGCGTTGATGGTACCAGCGCAGCCTTGGCATCGCAGGTCGCACGGTATACTTCCCCCAACGCCTCGACGTTGCACCGAGCGACCTTTAGCAACTGGACGCTGCGCGACGCGCTGCTGGAGCAGCGAGGTGGCACCGTCGTCGACACGTATCCGGAATGGTGCAAACTCGTGTACTTGATACATTGATAAAATCCTTATTTCATTCAGGAATGCGTCCAGCACGGTGGTCCCGACGACGATGGCGACCGACGCCGATGCACCGGACAACGATCCGCAAGGTGCGTACGGGGTCGACGTCCAAGGCAACGTGGTCGCGACGTCGCTGCCGCTCGACTTGCTCGTTCGCCTCGCGCTCTGCGTGCTCGTGACCGTTATGATTGCGCAGGACGCGTTCACCGACATCCCCGAGGTACCTCCTTGCGCTCGAATAGGACGTCATACACGCTGTAGATTGACAACCAAAACACATCTCGTCTCCAAACCACTGTACGTATCGCACGTACAAGCGGCCGCTACAAGGTGCGTAGGCGGACTGGCTCAACGTCCTCCGCTGCCGCCACTCGATCATGGATGTGCTCTCGAGCGTCTGCCGACTCCGTCTCTGGCCGTTCTTCGTCGCCGTCCTTCTCGGGTATCACAATCTACCCAGCACTCCAACCCGAAGAGGTTTGCAGGATTGTGCTCACGGCGATGACCGTGCTCATCGTCATCCCGTTGAATCGCATGCACAGCGAGGCGTGTGGACTCGCCACGATGTCCGACCCGTCGCCCAACTGGCTGGGCAACATTGTCGTCAGCTTTGCAAGCTCGTCCATGACGGCCAATGGCGCTCTTCACGCATCTGCGGTCTCACCCTTCTAGAAGTACAGAGGAAGCTCATGACTGCTGCTGCGTAGGGCGTGTCGACGCTGCAGTCGCTGCATGACAACTCGTGTGCGGCCAGTCAGCTGAGCATTGTGCGTGCCAACATGGGCCACCAAGGTACAACTAGACCTGTACGAGAAGGGCTTCCATTGTACTAGCCAACACCTCGTTGCGGTATCGCGAGTACGCCCAGCTGCATGCGCTCGTGACGCAGCTGCGCAAGTGCCTGCCGCCAAACGACACCAGCGCGGATTGCGCCGTGTCGCCCGAGGCCATCGCTGCACTCACGTCGCTCCAGACGTACACGTGCCCGGCCTACAATGCGACACGCCGCCGCGTTCAAGGCGCTTGCGCCGCCGTGGTCCGCCGCTTTGCGAGCGGCGACGGCAAGGCCCACGTGTGCGCGCTCGAGCGCTCGCTCCTCGAAATGATCTCGGTCGCGTGGGTCTCGGTGGTCACGTTCGTCCTCCTCAACGGTGCGCACCTCTGCTTCATGAAGGCGGTCGCGTTCTGGCTCTGGCGCGCGCTCAGCGCCGGGCGGTACCCGTTCGTGGGCTTTGTCGACGCCGACGGCAACGCCCTGGACGCCGACCAGCTGCGCGTCCGCCTGGAGCGCCGCCTCGCCGAGCATTCGCGTCTCTGCGTCCTCTACGCGGGCCTTGCCGCGGCGCTGTGGCTCGTGGCCTTTCTATTTGCGCAGTATATCCTAGCGTCGCTCGCGGAGGACTCGTAGGACGCAACACCTCAACCTCGTGCAGGAATAAAGAACCTTGGCGTCTGAGTCTGGTCGGCGGAAGAAGACGACGTCAACGAAGAAGCGCGTTGCAGTGGCCGCGATCTTTGAGGCCGGAAAGGGCAATGTCGACGCATCCGCACCTGGCTACTCTGAACGTTGGCTTTCCACCACCCAGAGCGCGCGACGTACGCTCGCAGCTCGGACGTGACGTGGAGCCCTTCGATGCGACCGATCCATCTCCAACGGCAGTGTCTATGCATCGGCCGGCAGCGCCAGGTGGTTGGGTGGTTGGCATTTTCATTGGCTTGATTCTGTGCCACCTGGCGAGCGCACGTCGGCGGTCCTAATTTCGCGCCTCGTTTGAGGACGAAAGAGTAAGTTCGTAGCGGCTTAGTTGCCTTTTATGGACAAGACCAGTCAATCCCCTTTGACGCTCGACGTACTCGTACTCGTCGTCTCCACGTGTGTCTGCGCCTACGCCACCTACCGCCTCCTCGCCGCTTCGTCCGCCTCCGCGCCTCCTGCCCCCCGTACCCGCGCCCTGCCTGCCATCAAGACGCCAATGACCTGCAAGACAACGCCGCCCGCCAAGCCAGGTTCATGCGCCAGGATGTGGCATCGCGCTCATATTCGTACGGCCTTGTAGAGTCCATGTACCTCAACAACTCGAAGACCGTCTACGACTTTACGGTCGGCGGTCGCGGCGAGCACTTTGAGTTCGACGACTGCAAGCACGTCGTCAAGCACATTTGCCCGCGCTGGAAGGATGCGCAGCCTGATGACATTACCGTCAAGATCATCTGCGGCGGGATTACAAACCGCCTCTACCGCCTTCTCTGGAAGGACCTCTGCGTGCTGGTCCGCCTGTATGGCGAGCACACGGAGGTCTTTATCGACCGCAACATTGACAACGGTACGACGCTAAGATCGCATCGTCTCTTATCGGATCGACTAGAAAACTTTGCCGAGCTCTCGCGCCGCGGCTTTGCGCCCACGTACTTTGGCCGCTTCACGAACGGTCGCGTCGAAGGCTGGGTCGACGGCACGGCGCTCGAGCCGCACCAAATGGGCGAGACGTCGCCCTTCGACCTGCTCTCGCTCATCCCCAAGGAGCTCGGCAAGATGCATGCGATGGAGATCGACATGGACACGCGTGCGTGCCTCTGGACTGTATACCGACAATGCATGCCCCTTCGTCGTCGCTCATGCTTGTGAGTAGAAGATCCAGCAGTTTGAAGACCTCGCAGCCGACATTACGTTTGACGATCCGGTCAAGCGCGATGCGCTCGAGCGCCTTGAGCTGCACCAGGTAGGCACGAGCAGGTTCTCTGCGTGCAGTCGTACAATGGACGCCTAGACGATCAAGCAGCGTGTGCGCTGGCTGCAGTCGGTGCTGCCGTCGCACAAGAACAACGACGGCAAGAGCCTCCTCGAGACCTTTCGCGGGTCGGCGACGGCCAAGCTCGCGTACAGCTTCTTGCACGACTCGGTGTTTAGCCACAACGATCTGCTGAGGTTTGTGATTTGAGATTGCACTTTGAGATTGCCCTTTTTGAGATTGCACTTGTATTATCTAGTGGCAACATTCTCTACAACCCCGCGTGGGGCCGCGTCCAGATCATCGACTACGAGTACGGCGGGTACAACTACCGCGGCTTTGACTTTGGCAACCACTTTTGCGAGCACTGCGGCTTTGACATGAACCTCAACGACTACCCGTCCAAGGACAAGCAGGTACAATTTCTTCTCGTTTTTCTATCGTGTATCAAGATGTCAACTCAGTCGACAAATTAGTTTATCTTCTACAAGGCGTACCTCTCGACGGCCGCGCCAGCGCTTTTGCAGTCGCTCACGCGCGACGGCTCCCTCGACGTGTTCCTCGGCCATCTCCACGAGTTTGGCAACGTCTACGCGCTCGCCGCCCACATGTTTTGGGGTCTCTGGGCCATTGTCCAAGCCGGCAACTCGACGATCGACTTTGATTTCCTCGACTATGCCCGCATGCGCTTCGAAGCGTTCGAGGTGCAGCTCGACCTCTTTTGCCCGACCGCCAAAGACGTTTAACTCGGGCGCACCTTGTCATCAACTGAGCTTGCTTGTACTGTCTACTACTGTCTGGATACATGTGAATTGTTGCTACGAGAGCGATGACGGGGTCGACGACGGACGGACTTTGTACACCATTGTCCGCATTGCCTTTGTAAGTTTATCGCTTGCGCTTCTCGGACGGCGGGTCCGGGAAGGGCTCGAACGGTGGAAGGTTGTCGAGCGACGTCGAGTCCGAGAGCTTCTTGAAGTAGCGCGTGATCACCACGTTGGGCTTGTCCTTGTCGGGCAGCGTCAGCGTCAGCTCGACCTTCATGCGACCCAGCTCGTCCAGCGTGCGGATGTCGGTCAGTACGCCCCGGAAGCCCGAGAGATGCGTGATCGTCTTGATCGCTGTCGGCTCACCAATCACCTTGATCTAGTGCCACGCCCAATAAGAACTGAACGGGCAAAGAATGGAGGCGTCGTACCGTGTTGGTCTTGATGATGACGTCTTGGCCAAACTTGAGCACCTTGGTCTCGAGGAAGATGCGCGTTCGCCGTGTGATGGTAAACTCGCCGGGCGTCTGCAGAATGATGACCGTCAAATCCAGCTTGTCGGCGGCTTGGCGGGCAATGAGCGGAAGGCCCTAATCGACAACTGAGAACGAGATGGCACATCGCAGCGTGTACCATGGCTTCGAGATAGTCGTTGGTCGAGTCGGACGCTTCGCGGTCCAGGTCCCAGGTCCCCGAGAGGTTGAGAGCGCCGGCGCCCGCAGTGTTGACTGGCACCACGGGCACCGGGACGTTCGAGGCCGACGCCACGGCGACTGCCACGGCCGAGTTGACGTTGACGTTCGTGGGCTTGAAGGCGCGCTGCGCGTTGGCCGACGCGACGTTGATGCGCTGCTGGTGCTGGTTCATCTGCAGCTGCATCGCAGCGACGTTCATGTTGTTGAGCGTGTTCATGGTCTGGATGGCGTTGAGGCCGGCCGTGCCGCCGGGCATGCCCATGCCAAGCCCCATGCCGATGCCCATGCGCTTGAGCTGCTGCTGTTGCTGCGCGTGCTGGCTCGAAAGCGCGGCGGCGGCGGCGGCCACAATCGCCGCCGACGGCGCCGGTGCCATGGCCATGTTCATACCGCCTGTGATGCGATGAGCCTGGTGGCCATGGAGAGGTTAGCGGTACCGTTGGGGTTGGGCGGCGCGGCCGCCAAGATCGGGTTGTTCATCGAGATCGCGATCGGCTTGGAGCCGGAGGGCGTCGCCGTCGCCTTGTTCGTCGCCATCGCCTATACCGAGTTCAAGATCTGTGGAACCGAAGAAGCGATGGGGGTGTCGGATACCCGTATCCGGATAGTGCGAGCTATCCAGTGCAGCGGTTTAACGCCGTTTAACGCACCATACATACATCAAGTGAATACGTGGCCGCTTCTCCACACGCCGTCGTCGCACTCCGACACCAGTCCCAGGACGCATGAGAATGACGTGGCGAAGGACGATGTTAGCGGTACCGAGTCGCTGCCGTGTACGCGTCACAAGCTCACGAACCCCGACACGAGGCGGAAGACGTCGGTCTATGCTATTGTCACCTCGAAACGGAGAGGCCAAGTCGCTCCGCCCAACAAAATCTCGGCGCATTTGCCATCGGTTGGACCAGTGTCGAGAGACCTGCGGGTGAGACGCTCAACGCTCAACTCGTTCTTTCCAGTCAGAATGGAAAATTTTAGTCGATTTCTTTTCGTCCGGCGATTTAGACACTGTAGCACAGGGTTCGTCGATCGATGGCGTCTCAAACGCCAGAATCTGCGCGTCAAAGTTCGTCGCCACGTGCTCGATTTCGATCGAGACGACAAACGACCGGCCGTCGTTGCACAGCGTCAGCATCGACGGCACGCGCACCCACGGCTGCGTCGCGACCAGACGCAACGTTTTTGCATACGCGACCCGATCGGTGTTTGGCGCCGCCTTTGGAAAGACTGGTGTCACTTTGATCGTCCGCTCGACACGCGCCGGCGTCACCTCGAACGGCTCGCGGAGGCAGATGCCCCGCGCCGTCGGTCGTCCTGGCGACGTCACGCGCACGTCCAGGAACCACGGTTGCCCAGAAAGGCGAGGGCCATGACGCACCGCGTGGTCAAACGCTCCTGGCGTGTTGACCAAGCCGCAGCCTTGCTCTTGGGCCCCGACACCCGGCAATGGCGTCGCTGTCGCTTCGAGAGCGTGTCGGAGACTGTACGGGTGGTATGGAATCTGCTGCGCCTTGAGACCGCTGATGAGAAGCGCGAGGACGCCCGCGCAGTGCGGCGCGGCCATCGACGTTCCGTTCTTGAGCTGCTGCTTGCTCAGTGTCCAATGGGACACTGACGTGATCGCACCACCGGGTGCGACGACCGAGATGCCATTGTCGCCGTCTAACGACGGGCCGCGCGACGACCACGTATACAACGTCGACTCGGCGAACGGCGGGCACAAGCTGTGGACATTGGACATCATGTCCCGTGAAACGTACGCGCCGACACCGAGTACGCTGGATGAGAGCCCGCACGGACCTTTGATCGTCCCGAGCGCCGGGCCGTCGTTGCCCACGCTGCCTACAAACGTGACGCCGTGGTCGTGGACGAGCTCGTTGATGAGGTCGACGGATCGGCTGTGGTTGGGATGTACGACGTGTTCGCCGTAGCTCATGTTGACGACGTCGCACTTGTGCTGGAGGACCGCGAGGATACCGCGCGAGATGGCAGTGCCCGTCTCGGCCGACCCCATGCGTGTGTCGCCAATCTTGATCGATACGAGCTGCGCGCCGGGCGCAATTCCATTGTTGGCTGCGTTTTCTGGGTCGTGACCGGCCGCGATCGACGCGACGTGCGTGCCGTGCGACCCGGCGTCACAGACGATGCTAAGGACGTCGCCGTTGTCGTAGACGTTAAAGGCGTAGTGCAGCTGGGAGGCGTCGCTAAAACAGCGAAACTCGCACCGCTTGTGATAGACGCCGATGGCTTCGATCGCGCCAAAGTCGCAGTTGCCCGAGTCGTCGATCGCCGCCCGCCACTCGCTCCCGTCAAAAAAGAGGATGCAGTCGTACACAGGCCCCATGTCGTCAAAGCTCTTGGCCGATTCGTCGAGGATCGAGAGCTGTGCCAGTAGGTCACGGCGCACGTCGACCGTACGCTCGGACGTCTCCCACGCCACCAACTTGGCTTGGACAACGTCGACGGCCACCCGGTGCAATGTGAGAAAGGCGTCTTTGGCCTCGGCTTTGAGGCGCTTGACGAGCGGCGCGGGAAAAAGCTCGTATGCGCGCTTGGAGCCGATGCGGTACGAGCCATCGACGGCGGTCCACGATGGGTTGAGCGTCCACGTCTTCTTGCCGACCTTGAGCTTGCCATCCTTGGCCTTGACGACCGTCGACATGTCGACATCATCTACAGA